TGTTAGGTGATGTAATATATGTATATATATATGATTGAAAAGAAATTGACGTTGATGAATGTGTGAGTAAAAATTTATTTTCAACGATCAATGTTTTCCAAGACGACTACCAGGCCACCCCTAACTAGTCACTTCCTATCAGATTAACCTACAATAAAGCATTAATCTTATTTAATTCTTGAAAGCTAATACAAGCAATTCAAAACAGTCAGACTGAATTAAATACAAAAAAGAAACATCTGTTGCTGAATTTATTACTTTGACCTGTTTTATGAGAAGTAGGTTTCACTTTGTTCTTGATAATATCTGTAGAAGCTCTACCACAGTCTGAAAATTAATTTCAGTACTTGAAACTTACCCCGTACATTGAAAATTCTTGCACATAAGAATGGGTGCAGTCTATGTATTCCACTGATTATATCTATTTATCCCTTTCTATACAGGAATACATAATATCCTATAGGCACGCATAAATCTCTACGCTTTATCTGGCAATATCTCCAAAACTAATGGTGTCACTGTTTAGAAAGAAACTGAATTAGAATCACTTGAAACGCAGTTACTGTCCACATACAAGTACAAAATTGGACAGAGTAAGACAAGAGAGAGTATTTTTCAAGCATAACCTGATAATCCTAATCATACCACGACAACCTCACAACTCTCCACACTGTAAATTCTAATTACGCAACAGTGACAAAAATCTACGAATTTCTGGTATAAATGTGGAATCATGTGTGTTGCATGTGTTTAAAAGTGATCTGATAGCAGACTGCTCAGTAAACAATTTACCTCACCATCCCAACGCTGAATTTTAATGTAATGTGTTAAAAAATGAGTTGAACGTTTTCACTTTAGAGTAGTTGGCAGTGATATTAGAATTCTGAAACTTTAAATAAATATGGCATATTGTAACAAACAGTGCCACATTTTTACCTTAAGTGTTCTATAGAGTCAAATTAACAGGAATTTTAGGATATCTGTTTTTATGTATCACAGTAAACATTTAGGAAAGTGTGAGGTGCAGCTTCAAATTATTAAGGAATTATGAGCTTCCTTTGTATATTACTGATGGATGTCAACACGACTTCATGACTGTCAGTTTCTCCTGAGGTCTGTCTGTGGATACATACCTGAATGGTATGAAATAGATTACTGAAAAATTTTCGTTTAATTACTCATCATTATTCATGAATATTCGCAAATTTTATTGTGTGATGTGCAAACAAGCAGCTTTCAAAAATGAAAATTATTTCTTCATATTTACAATTTTTAATGAGAGGTTCGACGGAAAAAGAAGTTTCATGAAATGTCACTGTTTTCCACGTTAAGATGTGTTATGAAAAGGATTCTGTGACTATGTATCTACTTGACTTGGCTCACTCTGATGGCGTTTGCAGATCTGCTGGTACAACGTAGGAACCGATTACAGCTTCATTTAGAAATAAAACAGAAAATATGATGAAATTTCACCTCGAACAGTGAATTGTGAAAACAAAACTAGTTTTAATGCCGAAATAGTGTGTTAATTTTATTCCAACCCATTTTGTTTACATCTAAATTATTTGGATTTCATTGAGAAGAAAGTTAACTATAGAATGATTGACATATATATATATATTCTCATCCTACTTTCACAGAAATTTCAAAACAAATTCTCTTCCTATCGGATTTATTTGTTGCATATAGTGACGGCCAGGAAACTGCGGTAATGATAAAACTTGGTGGTGAACAATGACAGAAACAACAACCCTCGCGGTTTAGGAAGCATACAGAGAAGAGATAGAGGAATAAAGCTACACTTTTTGTCTCACAGAGAAAAATTTACGTCTAACCACGTTTAAAAAGTGTGAAGATAGATGAATACAAATGACCGTATCACTTGAGCTTTCCTACTGTGACTAGTTGTCCTAGATTGTTTTACTTGCATTGAAATTTTAAATAGTCCAAAAGGAAGAGACTTAGGAAAAAAAATAAAAACATGGTACAGCAGTTTTCCACTATCATTTGAAATGCATAATCAAATGCTACTTCTATATTCACTGAAGAAGTGATGTTCCGCTGACCTTTTCATTACTTACAAATGGTTATAATTTTGGATTTGGCAATTTCTTCTTATCAATAGTAATAGAAAAGTGGGATTTAAAACTACGGAGTTGCATACAAGTGCTACATTCACTCCCTGAACCTATTCTTTCGTCATCTACTAAGCGTAATATTCCTTTGAGAATTGAATTAGTGTGGACACATTCATTGTGCAAACCGAAGAATAAAGTGGTTGTTACAATTTCTAAAGTAACGGTTACAGGCTCAAGGATAGGCAGTTTATTGTCATTTGGAAAGTGTAATATATCGGGTAAGCCAAGTTACCTAACTTCTTGACCAGTTTGGCTACATAATCAATAGCTGAACTTATCTTGTCACATCTGTACAGCTGATTACATCACTAATTACTAATCGGCAGTTAATGAGTAGCCAAAAGACAGCAGCAGTCTTGAACTGATTACAGACAGACATGTTCCGTTGAACTGCACCATGTCTGGTTGTCATGGTTCTTAGTGTATGTGAGCCGCATCTTCTCTTCACAGTTATCCATAGTCTCATGCTAATTTACTAGCGTGGAGTGATACTGTAGACCACAAAATGGAATCACTTAGCTTAGTGTAAAGATTGTCAAGCCAGACAATTAAACTGGAGCAATATACCCACGACTCATTGTTTAATTTACATCCAGCTTTGTATATTACTATTAAATATCAAAACCTAAAAGATAAGGTAAGAGTTTTTACCTACAAAGAGGCTTCAGAAGTGGTCTGATCACCAACTTGTTGTCTAATACCTACTCATGGGTCACACATTTCAGTAATCTTTAAGTTTCTATGCTTTATTCCGGTTTAGATGACACACTCACTAACTTACTATCTGTTTCGCCTTGTCTACTGAAATATTTTATTTAGTCAAGCTCTACTGTATGTTAAAAATACATAAAGAAATAAACGAATTCACTATTATACCTTCTAATTTATGCATAAAGACAAGATGGTTAAACAGTAATAAAATAGAAGTATAAGAAATGAGTAGAAAAGTTATCCTATCTTGTATGCATACATTAATTACTCCTAACGCATAATTACATTTTAGATTTATTCGAGATTAATAAAGGTTTTCTTGTATTTCCCATTCATTAGGAAATACAAGAAAACCTTCATTATAATGAATATCATATACTTAATGACCAAATTTTTTCAAACTGTTAAAAGTGAACTCGGTTTGGATATATATAAATTATTCGAGATTACTTTATTGAGAAAATCCGGCCTAGAATAGAATCTGGTGCAGACAGAATTATCAAAGTAGCTGAATTACCCATATTACAGTCTATAGACATTTACACAACCTCTAAAAATAGATGGTGTCACAGGTTAATCAAGGTACAAAAATGCAGTTTGGTTTACTTTTTCAAGTTCAGAAGTTTGCGTTTATCAAAAATTTGAGTAGTATCTTGAGAACAAGCATTTGATAATTCACTCCCCTTATATGATCATTGATAAACACTAGTAAACGACCATTTCCCTGGCATCATTTGTGCCGTAACTTGATTGAACAAACTATCTCATGTCAAACAATGTTTAAGAGAACACATGATATTGCAGGAAAAGTTATGACCAATCAAAGATTTGTTTCTTTTATTCCCTTCAGCTATGTGACGCTTAGCGGTAAATGCGAAGTAAAAGCACATGACTCCCGTTGTGGGAATATTTTCTTCACTAGTTTACCAAAAAGCATAACTTTTGTTTCCTATTTTAGCCTTTTTTTAACCGAAACACTAGACTAGACTGGACAGTTTTCCTTCCGGATCGATATGCCTGTATTAAAAATTGGGAAAACTAGTGGCATGCCATTTATCTCAACAAATAAAACAATAAACAATTTCAACACATGGTATAACGTAACAATAAAGATATTTTTAGCCTACTTTAGATTTCTGTTTAAGTTAACATACTAACTAATCTGCGCAAAATGGAGGCAAATTTATTTGACACAAGATAAGATATCTATTTCATAATAAAATTTGCAACGTCTACATCATTCTTCACTTAAAAGTTTTTGTGTATCACGTGTATGAGGACTTTAATTAAACGCTAAGGCCGAAGTGCATCATCGGTTGTCCAAGTGAAGCTATGGTCGTTACATTAACAACTTGCATTGATTTAACAAGTGAATATTTTTCATTTCGTCAGTATAACTAAACTTGAGCAGTAATATAAGGAAGGATTGCATATGTCATATTCATGAAAAGTAACCGGCAAAAGATTTATTGAAGTTCACTCATTGATTTACTACTCAGACAAACTTCAGGCAATGGGGTATACTTCTATAGAAGAATGACTTCTCCGATAACTTGAACTTGAAGTCTTCAATTTCAAGACACTCAATAATCGAATATGCAAAACCAGACAGACATTTGGCATAAAAGCAGTAGAGAAAATAAACTTTAATGTCTCATCTTGCATTTTAATAAAGGCATAGTGACTATTTGTCAATCTAGTAGTTTCTAAGCCAGGTTATTTTATTCTAACTTGTAGTCATAGCAAGCAGTTTTCAATATGCTCCACAAAGTACTCAGTTAAGTAATTTGGAAATATTGCAAAACATTTCAAGGTGATTACGTTTAATAACTAACTTTCTGGAAGTCAGTGGCCAACAGTAGTTCAAAAACCCGAGTTCCCTTGGTCATATGCCAGAATTCATGTGCACAATGACGAGTTTTATTATGAGAAACAGCTATTGTACTGAATTTCTTCCCAACACTGTGTAAACGAGTAAATCAAGTAAAAACAAACGACTGCACTAAGATTCATTAAACAATCTGAATACACTTAGTACCGTGATGTTCCATAATAATGTCAACTCCGTTGAAAATCTAGTCAGTAACAAGTACGCTTTTTCTTAAATTTAAGAATGTCTAACTAATAAGTTCCAAATACCAAAATACTTACCACAGTGGTATACAATGATTGCTGTCAGTAGCTGTAGATATTTCCTTGCCATTAGGAATTATGAGTGTAGTGAATTCAACAATCCAACGTATCATACAATAGTTGCGTGTTGCTTTTGTTTTTTTGATGTATACATCAACGCATTCTATTCAAACAGTTCACAACATTTATGAATGATAGATTTGACAAAAATTAAAATAAATTCCATCTGACACATTTCTGGTCATATACACACACAAGCTTCAAAACAATAATCACCAATCTTTCATTAAACCAGTGTAATAATTATTCGGCGTATTCATTCAGCTTAAATTTATTTTTTCTTTCAAAAATTATAACGACAGCGATAAAAATATTCCACGCATTAAAACAAAAAGAAGTAGGTCTTTCTTATTTTGAAAAATAAGCTTGCCTTATCTTGATTAGTGTATATATGAAGCAGTGAGGAAATATTTTGCAACAACAAACGGTCCAATTGAATAAAAAATGAACCAATCAGTGTGTTCATATTATTTACTGCTTATCGATTTACCGTTTCAATGGATCTGATTGGTAAAATAACTGGCAACTGAGGCATGTTTTCGTAATTAGATGATTAGCGCATATGACCAGTCATATTTATGCTAATAAGTGATTGTGATAGCTGGAAGAAAGCAAGCAAATAATGGAAACCAGTGGTCTTTATGGTGCTGGCGATATTTTTTCGTTATGCTTTTCCATAGAATGATCTGAATGTTACTAGTACTTAAAAACAAGTCTGCAGTCAAATTCAAACTACTCGCTCTAATGGAAATTGACTTAATATTCCAATTCATATTTCTTCTGGTTCAAAGCAAGCCTACAAACTGTAGTTGATGGCTGAAAAGTCAAATAAAAGTATATGTATAACTGGGAAATATCTCTCCATGAATTATCGATTAAGTAACTGGATAAAATCGGTTTTATTGATTTAATAAAGTATTGGCATTAAGTTGATTCTTAGAGGATGCCATCTTAATGGATATAATGGTAGACAAGTAGTTGTCTCAAGTGGGTTGTGTATTAGACACACTGAGAAGAATATTAAAACAGATAAAGAGAAAAACTGCATAGGTGTCTGTGACATCCAATCACATTTTATATTGCAGAGTATTAGAAGTCGTCTATAATCTAAGTCACAACTCCATCTACTTGAGAGAAAATGTTTCACTATTTTTCATAATGAAATCCCATTTGAATGAGGGAAAATTGAAACATAAAGGGTATCAGATAATGGCATTACGTGGTTTAATTTTTCTTTAAAGTTTTATTCCTCTACATTCCCAGTGGAACATAGGGCTTCAAGCTAGAGCTCTGAAGTTCCTGTAGCAGTGGTTTAATTTTTACGAGTCGAAGTGGTTAGCCTCACGCCCAACTTTCACTCTAAACTGGCTTTACAACTAGCTTAGTGAGGTTCAGGAGTACGTCGGCCAGGAATTGAACTCTTGACCATGTAGTTGGTTAGCGGGTATTCTACCTCTGAACCACTGACGCACGGCATTACATAAAACCATTGGTAATCGCCTTAATGAAATGACTTCCCGTTGAATGGGTGAAAGAACCACACTTTCTGTGATTTACTTAGAATTCAACAGAATTTTATACAATTCTTACAGTTACTTTCTTGAATTTTCGGAGTTGTTATATAACATTTTTTCGGAAACAGAATTCAGGAGGTAACCTCTTTTATTTTCAGATAAAAATCTTCACTTTTTACTTTCCTGACAATTACTCGCATAGTTCAATTGTAAGAGTATTACACCTCAATTTTAAGTAACCTGGTTTAGAAAGGCGACACAAAAATACAGACATAAGTTTAACCTTATTCCAATAGTTTTAGCCAGTTGTTATAATACATCTGACACGTACCGCTGCCTCAATCATTCAGGGTTAGAAAACTCACCAGTCACGTAGAAGGTCCAAGTTCCATCATCAGCTGACTGTTTTCTAAATATCATCTTGTTTACCAGTTAGTAGTAAGCCGGAAGAAGAGGGGAGGTCGGATGTGAGACTGGAGATATCATCCAACTTATAAACAGTGCCTTGTTGTATATAATGGTTTTTAAATGATACTGATACAAATATATACATATGTGCTTTTTCGTCTTAAATAAATAAACAAATAAATACTATGTATGCACACAGAAAAGTTCATGCTTTAAATGAAATCTACAAGTTATAAATGATTGTCAGTGAATGAGATAGCAAGGACTGACCAAGTTTGTCTTAGCGCCACGTCTGAAGTAGTATTTCCAAGTAGAGACTATGAAACAGACTACGCATACATAGCGCTATCATACAGGCAAAAATGTACGCGTTCCACATTTTGGTTTACGGTTCGCTTAGATTCATCATATGTCTTAAAATACTGACATCAAAATGAACAGTTCAAATAAATTTAGCCACTGACTATTCTTCTTTAAATATTTTAATTATATATATATATATATAATTTGACAACAATATATCCCATAAGATAAAATTTCATGTCATAATGTGAAGACAGCCGACGAACTGTCCCACTACACTTTACATTGTTGCTAAAACGTTTTATGTAGTAACTCTACATCAAGTGTTCAGACGTCTATTTGCTTTGTTCATTTTCAAGAGTGTGTCAAAATTACTTTAAATTTGACTCCTTTGAGAAGTTATAAAATAGTGAGAATAATATTGAGACTCATTTGCAACAAATGTGAATGACTGAAGTAGAAAGGGAACCTGGAGTCCACTACGATCTTCATGGAAATCTAAGTACTGAAGTGAAAAAACACCTACCCCGTCCGTGCACTGATCAGGATTCCATTCAAATTTAGTTAAATGCCAGGTTATTAAATTTGGCGTTCTTTAATTTACATCAGGATATTCTTATGACACACAAGTAATCATTCTTGCTGTGAATACACCTGCTCACTGGAAACCTTTTAACAATACACACAATGGTCTCCTCAACATGTGTCCAGTCCATCTCCATTTCCTTCTACACTTTTGTTGAGCAATATGTTCTTGATTGCTTCGCTCCTAGAGTTTCTTGTTGCTGATTCTTTCTGACCAGCCATCCGATCTTCGGTATCTAGTCGGCGAAGGCAGCTGTTGATAAGAGTCTACATTAGCCTGCCGGATGCCTGACGCATATTTTGGAAGTGGCTGACTTAACATTGTTGTTGAGAATCGGAATTTCGTTCTTTATGCTGTAGAGTGCAGATGATTTCCAAACTGGTTTCAGATTGATTGAGGTTAGTCACACCCTTCAGATTCTGATTTTGATGTCCTCATGCGTTCTGTCACCACCTGTACTTGAGACGATGCTACGTAGATAAGTGAAGGAATTGAGCTCTTTCAAATTTGTTCTTTTGATAGTGCCTGGTGTTAATTGTTGTTGTTGTTGTTATTGGTTTGTTTGTTTGTTTGTTATCTTGATCACCTCCGTCTTTTCTGTGTTCCGTCGAAGTGCTGTATTTTTTTGTTTGTTCAAACAGTTTGTTGTTTTTCACGATATATTTGTTTGAGTTTGTGTGAGATTAGGTATAAATTATCCGAGAAATGCATATTTTCTAGAGTCATCTTATTGGTCCAACGCATTTCTTTCTTCTGTATATAGGAGGTGTTATTACGTATCGCAGTCTGTAAATAAAGCATGTCGGAATAAATAAATAATATGCCCTTTACAAACACTTAAACAATCCTAAAAATACACCTACTATTTTGTCTAAATGGAAAACAAAATGGCTTCAAAATAATTAGATATGACATGCGACAAATTTTTAACTAAATATACAAAGTATTGACGTATTATTTTCGTTATAGTTTTGTAACCCAGCGTCATCCCAGAATAATGTGTGTTTTCGAATGGGATTGTTACACTTTACTAGTTAAGTGGTCTTTAAAACCTTTGTACTTAGATTATTCGAAATGCATTGCTAAACAGTAAGCACTTAAACGACTTCGAGTACTTGAACTTGTTGGCCTAAACTTTCCATTTGCATAAGAATAGTCTAATGAAAATAATTATTTTGCACCTTTTTCAACAGCATTTCAAACGTTCACTGTAGAAGTTTAAGTGATATTGTCTACCTCCTTGAACTTGTTTAACTCATCTGAACAAAGTGATAATAACAGCAATAAGTCGAAGCTCCCGCTGTTCACTCGTTATTTGAAGTCTCGATTGAGACTGTGCTCCACTTAAGTCACGTTAATTTCCTTACACTACGCTGAGAAAATGTTATCGGATTTTGAAGTACCTAGACCTTATACCGTGAAGGTAATACATAATATTTAGTGAGTATTTATTGAAGATGAAATGAAAATCTTCATCTCAGTAAGACTGCAATCAGCAGCTCCCGTACTACTAGTCCTCTGTTGTACAAGGTGAATTTCAGATCTCATTTTATGACCTAAACATAACACTGTCTAAGTGGCTTAATCATCATTCCCTTTTCTTCTTCCACCTTAAACTGTGCTACATCTTAATAGGCTATTAGAATGAGACAAAGTGAAATTAGCGAAATTTGTAAACTTCTTTTGTATCAAGCTTAACAGCATCGTTCGTTTGACAGAAAATGAATTGATCTTTTTATTAGCTAAATGTACTTCCGAAAGAAGTCGTTTCTATACTTCACTGCTGTCATCAACTAAAGTAAAAGAAAGCAAACTGTCATATTTAATGAAAACATTTCAAGGATTCAGGATCACCTTAAATATCAGATTAGGCAAATTTACAAGCATTATAAAAATCCATTTTCAGGGAGTTGGTTGATTTCAAGTCACATCAAATACTAACGTCAGTCAAAGAACCATTGGAAACCAGGGAGTACTAGACAGATATTTGGCCCTACTTCAAAACTCTTCACTGACTGTCAGTTACATCGCAAACTGGCAGAAATTAGAATTGACTGGTCACTGGATTCTGTCTCAGTGGCTGAACGGTTAGCTAGGTGGCTAGCTATGAAAGTCCTGACCTGAGTCACCATTGGGATGATAGGTACTTTATTTTGAAAATTCCCGGACTGGGACGAAACAGTTGCCCAGTACGGCATGGTTTCTAATGATTCCGTAACTGATCGCAGTTCATGATCTAAATTGAAAATCTAGCTAGGACCTAGAATGCTGCTTTATGAATCACTCCCTGTCTCTACTCTTAATGCTTGAACTTTTCATTGTATTGTGTTCAAATAGACTTCGGTTAATCGATTAGTTCGGCTTTTTTATCCTGCATTATTAGGGTCTTCGGTCTATATGCTCAAATTATTGTGCCTTCGCTAACTGCATTTTGAGATGTTTTTTGTCTGTTGATAATACTCAATTGCCTAGTCGATATCGCTTTTATTTTTGTGGTACTAGGTGCTGGGTTTGAGTCCCACTGGGCAGCAAGCACGTCTAGCTGGTAAAATTTAGATATCCGTTCGAAGAGCCGAAATA